AGATAAAGGGAAACTCACCAAGACGAGCCACGATCCTGGAAAATAGGGTATATGGGGCCACACAACCAATATCCCAATTCACGTTTGAGGGTCGAGTAATCTATCCCAACGTTTTCAATTCTGTCGGGGGTAAACAAGCTCAGACATGCTTCGTACAACCTAAACAGAGGTGGATTCTCCACCAGCACCGTTGCTCTATCCGGGCCGAGACCGTGTTTAATAAGAACACGCTCTTTGGCCTGATTTGGGAGCATTTGTGCTCCAAAGGAGAGCAAAAGCTGTGTGTATTGCTTTCGCACGCATCCGATACAGACAGGATCGTATGGGATCGTATGGTGTCACTCGGATGATGTTGGTTTTCTCCGTCCGCGAATCCTGTTCCGAGGCATCTTGACAATGAGCACAAGCGGACCGTAAACGTAGCGGTGGAATATTCGGTTCGGGCAAATAACGGTAGTCCAGTACGACCTCTTTATCTCTCATTGGTAAAGTGATACTGACATGGCCAATAAAAAGAAGCAAAGAAAAAATATGAGAACGAACATAACCAATAAGGGCTGATCGGGCATGTGTTTACGAAGAATAATGAGAAAAGTAATCATATTAGTGCTAAAGGACACTTCTGCTTTCCCTAACAAAAATGTTCAAAGTGCTAAGACAGTTCGATACACAATCCAGCCGGTGCCCACTGCCACCAGGACTATGTAAGTGTGATTAGTACGCCTCGTCATGTTTGGATTGGTATCAGGCTTTGTAGCCAGCTACTCTAGGTGAACTGCCGGCGATTATGGGGCCTAAAATAGCACGGTGACTCAAGTCCTGGAACACACGAGACCGCATGTGTGCAGTTGTTGCTTGCGGTCATAATATTTTACAATCAGCTTTGACCTACTCACGACAACCGTTATCTTTCGAGNTGATCGGATTGTGAACTTCAATAAAAGAGCTGGTGGAGTAGTCACTTTCGTCAACCGTATGTGGTGCAACAGCTCTCATCTTTTGTTTCATTTTAATACCAGGAAAATCAACTGCATTGTCGTTCAATGTAAACTCCGTTTTCTTAGTAATTTTAATCATATCCTGCTAGCAAACATTTACATTGCCCCTGACACGCCCACTTCTGACATCCGAATGTTTTCTGACTCTTTCTCAACACAATTCGCGACAGGCTTACACCAGTCACGGTGTATTGTGGCTGGTGATTTTAATCGTTTCGACATTTCTTTCTTATGAACTTTAGGTTTAGTTAATCTTGTGCACTGCCCCACTCGTTTGGAGGCCCAGCTTGATCGCATTTTCGTAAATATCCCATGTCTTCTTTATAGAAAAACGAGCCCCTATTAGCACGTCCGACCACTGTACAATTCTTTTGCACCCAAAAATCTATGGTAAAATGTTTCAACGTCAACAAGCAGATGTAGCATCCAAAACAATAAGAAGGAGGAATTTTACGCATGATAATTTATTTCGACTCCAAGATATGATCTCTTCAACCGATTTTTCTGTCTTCTCCAATTCAAATAATTCTTCCAGATGTGAACATCTCACCGGCTACCTTAATTTCTGTTTTGATTTGTGTTGCCCGATCGGGATAATATATATCCAAACCGACAGATTCTCATCGCCTCCCCTAAAACGCCTTCGACGTAATAAGGAGAAGGCATATACGAATGGCAGGCGCTACGATGTTAAACGACCCTCGATTAACATCAAGGCAGAGATTCAGGGCTTGAATAGGATGTATGCTGAAACCATCCTGGGTAACCAGATCTGTCGTGAGATGCGGTCGGCGTTGAAGCAACTCTGTGGCACACGTGGGAGCTGCTGTTCTGACGTAAAAACATTAAACCGACAATTTTCTGCCTCCACTGGGTCCAATTCTCTACTGTCCGTTTTTAATTCTTCAGAAATCACCAACCCTGTTTCTCCGATCGAGGTTCTCAAAGTTTTGAAGCAACTTAAGTCAAACAAGGCCCACGGACCGTACTCATTAGCTCCTATTTTATTGAAAACCTGTACCAAACACCTTGCAACACTCGTCGCTGAGTTGCTTAATTTGTGTATGTCCTCTGGAACAATCGCTGATCGCTGGAGTGCTGCCCGGATAAGACCCATTCCCGAGAAGGGTACTTCAAAATATCGACCGGTTGCATATATCTCAGCCCTGTTGAGGGTCTTTGAAAGAGTGCTGTTGAACCGTTTGACTACCCTCTCGGATGTTTCTGATCCTCTTCAGTTTGCTTATAAGAAATCCCTTTCGACTGTTGACGCTGCGTCTTATGTTGTCCATTCTGTGGCCCCAGTTCTTGATACAAGTACTGGAGTTGTTCGCCTTACTTCTCTTGATTACACCAACGCCAACGCCTTTGATTCGCTTGATCGTCACATTCTCATTCAACGTCTTGCTGACTGCGGCTTAGGATCCGACGTGTTAAACGTTCTTGTCAATTACTTACCTTCTAGGACACAATTTACCTCACAATGGTAAAACGTCGACATCTTCTTCTGTTAACTCTAGTGTCTTCCAGGGCGCCATTTTTTCCCTGTACATAAACCACCT